CGAGTCTCATGAATAATCACCTGTGCCTACTCCCATCTGGCTGGTTTCTGGAGCAATTGCTCACTCTGCCTCCCGCCTGCCTTCCTGCCTGCCTGCTGGAGCATTTATCATTAGGAAGGTTTAATGGGTTTCCTCTTAGCTCTGAAGGATGGGGAGCTGGCTGGTTGGCTGCACCTCTGGGCAGAACAGTCTGTCACCCAGGGCAGGGGGTATGAGACAGCAGCCCTGCCAATGGCATGGAAGATGGGCTACGGTTAGGGAATGGCTGTACCCCTCCTGGTATGACAACCCCTGGGAAAGATCAGACACAGTGACCAGAGGCCAGGAGGGTTTGCAGAGTTCTGCCCCAAGGTGAAGAATGGGCTTTGTGCCCTGTCAGCACTGAGGGCCCAGAGAGGATCTCCCTAGACCTCTAGCTCTTGGTGCTAGGCATGGGTGTGCATTATCCTGCGTGGGGCCCACTCCCTGTCACTTAGGGCGTCTGCTCTTGTCTGTGTGTCTACATGTGGCCATGAGACTCTAGCTATCTCTGTGTATCCTGGGTGGCATTGGGTACCCCTCTAGGCATCCCCCTTCCTTTGTCTATCTGTGCAGTGGCTAACGTTGCCATTAGGTAAATGTGCCCCCAGAGCCCTCTCAGGATCCTGGTGACTCATTACTAAGCAGCTGTCGTTTCTCTCACCTCCTGCCGAGGAATCAGAGGAAATCCCAGGCCTTTCAGATGGTTCAGACTATGTAGTCTTCCCTGGTATCCTCTTTTGCAAGCACCTCTCAGACCAGACCCACCCCAGAGGCCTGAATTCCACTCCTGGGCAGTGTGTATCAGTCCTGGCTTCCATCACCGTTGGGCAGAGTTGAGAGCAGGTCATTGTAGGGCAAACAGTATTTGCCCCAGAGTAGGGTTTGGCTTCCCCATTGTAGGTAATATGTCCATGAGTTAGCAGACAGCCTGGGACACACACACATTGATCCTGGCCTGGGGAGTGGGGATGAGCAAAAGCCACCAAGACAAAATTATAAGGAATCCTGCCTCAGGGTTGGGGTTACATCTGTTTGAGGACCAGGCATACAGATGTAACAGTCACATCCAGCCCTGAACTTGTGACAACGAGCCATCCCAGGTCTAAGTGTATTGTAGACAGAGGTTGTTGAATTCAGTTCTCAACCTTACTTCAAGAGGACTCAGTCTCTGGGACGGATGAACCTCCTCACCTCCTCACCTTGCAGTTTAGCCTCTAAATAAACAGTGGGGGTGGGGGGGGATGCAAGAGTTTGTCCAAGAGCCAGCCCTGTGCTGTTTTTCTCCTTTTGTTCCACTTTTTCACCAGAGCAAAGCACCTCCCCACCTGCTAGCCCAGGAAATAATTCTTTCCCCCTCCCATATCTAACATGTTCATTTAAATGGAAATTAATTGCTTTTCCTGAGGATTTCTTTAAAAATTGGTTTTAAATGAGTGCATTAGGCAGCCCCATTTATTATTCATTGGTTTGGTTCCCAATATGGCCCTGTATCCCAGTTCCAGGAGAGGGGATGCCAGCACAGAGCAGAGATGATTTAATCAGGGAAGACATTAATTAGAGATAGGGGAATATGTCCTCCCAGAGGAGTGAGGGAGCACCTCCTCTGCTGACTTAGCTGGATGGGGTCTGGGCCTGTGGAGCTCTTTGCCTGGATTCAATAGGCACCATTTTTCAGGCCAACTTGGGCCTGGGTCAGAACCAAGCCAGCCAGTCCCTCCTTCACTGCACCATTCACTGTCAAAACACTCAGCTCCAGGGGTGACTCTCCACTCTTCTTGCACCCTTTCCAGCTTGTCCTTTATCCTGGGGACACTTCACTGGTGCCCAGTCTAACTCCTGGTGTCTGTTTCGTGCAGATCTAGCTCACATAAAGCCCTCTGCGACTCCCTACCCTGCTTTTAGCCGGATCTCTAAGGTTGCTGAGCATTTAGCCTCTCCTCACTTCTTCATACCTCCTCCTCCCTCCTGCCTCTAAGACATCCTGTCTTTCCCTATCTGCCCCCTCACAAGAGTGCTGTCCCCACATTAAGGACCATCCTCAGCCCAAGCCCCTTCATGTAAATGTGCCCCAGGTGTGTTTGTGAGTATATTCAAACAACCAAAGGCATCAAAAGCCCTTTAGGCCAGGCATCCCTAGGACATTGATCCAGGTGTTTTTGTGCCACTACCTGTCGCTGCTTCCTGTCCTGCTTAGCAGCCGACTTATCTTGGGGCCCCGCAGTCTGGCCCTCCAATAGTCTGAGGGACAGTGAACTGGCCCCCTGTTTAAAGAGTTTGAGGACTCCTGCAAGTTTAGGCTATTTCTACCTTTCAGTTGTTTACAACAGCTGTGACTAGTTTGAAAAAATGATTTTGGGGCTCACAGCGCCTGTAGCTCAGAGGCTAGAGCTGGCAGGTTCGAACCCGCCAAACAATTATTGACAACTACATAGTGAGACTCTGTCTCAAAAAAA